TCACAAGGACAGCATGATGACCAGCAGAGGTCCTGAGGGGAGTGGGAGTGTTGACCTGACCACAGGGTGTGGGGGGCAACCAGAAGCATCAGAGGTGCAGGGGTGGGTGGAGGTACAGATGTGGGCAGAAGTCCAGATGCAGGCAGAGGTCTGGATGCCAGGAGCACCAAGGGCTCGGGAACTGGAGGTAAGGTCAGAATGCTGGCAAGGTCCAGGGTTGGATTGTTGACCAAGTCTCATTCAATAGGACAGGGGGGCCAGACATCAGGTTGGGGGCTGTTTAGGAGGGTTTCAGGTCAGTGGATTCACCTGTCAGTGTTGGAGAACCATGTGCTATGGGAGCAGAGCAAGCATTCTGTACAGCCACATTCCCACAGCTGCTCGTGATTCAGATTCTCCCAGATCCTACAGTCTGACCTACTCAGTTGGACCATGTGACTACTCAGTCACAAGACTTCCTTTTCTACTATTTCGGACTCATCTGTGCCAGGCCACTGATACATTCATTCATTGAATTATTTCCTTTTTCCTCAGTTCTTGCACATATAGCTTGAGACTGAGGTCAGTAATACTTCCTTTCATTTCTCATCCCTTTTACTCTGTAACTTAATATGTATATTGCCTTTAGCTAGCGCTTATAGGTAATACAATTTTAGTTCTCATGCATATAGCTTGAGACTGAGCTAGTGCTTATAGATCAATTACTGTGCATTTCCTCAGTCAGCACTGGTTCGCCGCTGACCGTCAGGGCACAGCCCCTGACCCCACACACCCTCAGGTGCCCTTCCCCCATTTTCTCCTATTTTTCCCTTCACTGTTCCACATTCCAGCATGCATGCAGACCCATGGGAATGTTCTGGGCGAGTCACTCGCCCATAAACCATCACAGCCACAACCATGGGAACTTTCTGGGTGAGCAGCTCACCCAGAATCTTCCCACAGGGGGGTGCCAATTATGGAAAGTCGGCAAAGAGCCGAAAACTGTATAGTTCCCAACTCCCATTTGTAGCAGCTTCACAGGAGGTTGAGAAGGTTACCCTTCTTCTCAACTCATTTCCTGTGAAGGCTGGGGCTAGCCCCCTCAGTGAGTTTGAGGATCTTGGACTGGGACTAGACACCCCAGCAACTAGGAGGATCTCCCTGGCCCTGTCATGGAACGAGGGCCAGACCCTGACACTGACAGAGCCCCAGGATTTGTTGGTCATGACACTGTCCTCACACTAGGCAGGGCATGAGATGAGAAGAAGGGTAAAGGTCTCATCTCCCCACATGGTTGCTATATAAAGGGATGGGTCACATGCCCACAACTATACAGCTCCTAGAGTTGTGTAGTGTGACCTGGAGGGAACATCCAGGTGGCAGTGCCCAGTAAGTGTGGGAACATTCTGGGTGAGTTGCTTGCCCAGAAGTGTGGCTGTGACCCGTGGGAACATTCTGGGCAAGCTGCTTGCTCAGAAAGTTCCCACACTATCCTGTGTGTGCATGTACACAACACACAAAGGCAACAATCAAAGAATAAAGGGAGTAGAGTAGGTGGGGAGTCTGGGGCACCCTAAGGCAGGGTGCTGAACCCTGACAGAACTCCACATTGGTCCAAGCTGGTGTGTTGCCATTACACCAAATGCCCCTTATAGGCCAAGGTGGTTTCCAACAGTAAGTACTGGCTTGCCACATCAGCAAAAAATTGTTATGCTCCTGAGTGTGCTCCAGAGTATGGAGAGCACTGGGAGAATCAGGAGGAGATTGGCCAGTCCAGGAACAGCTCATTTCCTCTGGAGTTGGCCAGGCACTCCAGGGCACTCCCAGGAGGGCATGGAGCATTGCTTTGTGCACAAACATATCCAGTAAATACAATTTAAATGCTTCAAAGTGTATAGGGGTGAGAAGCTTCTGGGAGCTCCTGGAGCATTTGAAAATGAAAATGAAAAAAAGAGGGAAGATCCCCCATGAATACCTCCTCCTACCACAAGACTAACACAACAAGACACTGCTTAACATTTAGATCAAACACTATACTATGTATCAAGGACACTGAGACTCACCAATATACAATCAAAATTTATGGCCTGATATACATATGATTAATCTGGCAACTTAATCACTTTCAGGCTTGCAGATATGGAGGAGAAATGGGGTAGAATGAGGGGGGAATGAGGGGGAGAATGAGGGGGAGAATGAGGGGGAGAATGAGGGGAGAATGAGGGGGAGAATGAGGGGGGATATAGAGGGAAATGAGGAAGTTTTGAAAAATAGGGACTTCTAAAATGTTGAAAAAAATAATTAGGGAAAAATCAAAAACAATTCAGGAACTGTAGTGCCTTTGAAGTACTTTCAGGATATATAATTATTTGCAAAATTGAGGAAGAAATGATGGAGAAAAATGGAAAATACTTTCGGAGACCCAAGAAATAATGAGAACTGAATTGATGGGAAAGTCTGAAAATTGAATAGGAAAGTGAGGGGAACCCTTGTAGCATTGTTATTTTCTGCTGTTCTGATTTTTCCCAATTCTTCTTGGTCTCATTCCCAGCTGCTCCTCAATACTCCTGGAAGCTCCTGAAAGCTCCTGGGAGGGTCCAGGAGCAGCTGGGAGTGAGACCAAGAACAATCAGGAAAAATCAGAACAGCAGAAAATAGCAATGCTACAAGGCTTCCCCTCACTTTCCTATTCAATTTTCAGACTTTCCCATCAATTCAGTTCTCATTATTTCTTGGGTATTTTCCGTTTTTCTCCATCATTTCCCCCTCAATTTTGCAAATAATTATATGTCCTGAAAGCACTTTAAAGGCACTATAGTTCCTGGATTTTTTCCCTAAATTTTTTTTCAACTTTTTAGAGACCCAAATTTTCCTCCCACCGCTCCTGCCACATTGCATACTCCTCACCACTCCCAGCTGCTCCTGAACCCCCTCCCAGGAGAACACTATTGGCTCCAGGAGTGCCCAATCTGCTGTTTTGTCTCCCACATACTCCAGCCACTCTTGATGCTCTGGAGCATAACAGACTTTTGCTGATGCACTGCATTGACCATCCTCCTGGGGAAAAGGGATGGTTGTGGTCTCAACTGGAAATGGAAGGTCAAGTGCCTGTATATTCCACCCATGTACTGTACATTGAGGTCATACTAAACACTGATATCGAAATTCAGGAAACCCCCAAGGCTGATTGAAGTGGTTGAGAGCAATTCAATCACTCAATCTGCCCAATCTGCCCAATTGACTACTCTCAATCATCCCAATAACCACAACCACACATGGATACATCCATGTGTGTGAGTCCATCGTTTGCATCCAGGTGCTGTACAGTTTCAAATGAATGGGTTTGCAACTTAGAAGTTTTTTCTTTGCTCCAACTCATGCACTCCACTACTCCACCACACTCTCTCTTCACATGCAACACCAAATTAACAACTCACAATACCCAAACAAACTGAGCTGTGGGAACTGCATGAACAAACATGATGATGCATGTCTCTTTTTTCTTTTTTTTCCAGTTGCATTCACAAGGCAATGTTTTTTACTCCACCCCAGATGTTCCTTACTTGAAAAAGAAAGAATGAGGGTGGGTTTGCCACCCAAAACTACCCTGTGTTGTATGTTGAGTCATAAGTATGGCAGTTCACTGTGTTTGTTGCTAAACTGACCACCTAACCACCCTCTTGTGCTTGTTTACATAAGCCACCACCATTCCATGATTGCCTGACCCTTCCCCAATACCCTCTGATACATCCCCTCCCTTCCCATGATTTTTGTATGTTTTTTTCCATGTCATTTCCAACCTCCAACCAAAGTTCTCACATGCGACACTATCCCCAACTTCTTACTACATGTACTCAACAACCACTCATCCATTTCCGATCTTAGGCTTGTTCAATAGAAGATAACTAGCTCTACCTTTATGCCGGGTTTGGTGCCAAACGGTTCAGCAGTTGAGGCACATGTCTGCTTTCTTTGATTACATTGTATTTTCACCCACTTTCCTCTTCTGTTTCATTTTTCATTACATTGTGTTTGGGTACTACTGTAATAATTTGTATCTGGGTTCTTTTCCCAAGTATGTATGAAACATAATGTTCAAATATAATAACTTTATTGATAAACTTCGATGTGGGAGAGAATGTGATAGTGTGCCGATACAACCAACCGTACAATCACTGAATCAGCTCAATCACCCCTGTAATTGGTGTGATTACAATCAGGGGACCCAGTTGAAGGGATTGTAAATCATGTGAGGTTGAAATGATCTCAACCACTTCAATCGGCCTCGGGGGTTTCCTGATGTATCTGATCCTTTGTCAGGGCACACCCGCTTGACCCACCTCCACCCGGGCCCACCTCACCCGGATTCCCTTCTCCCACCCTGCACCCCTCCTTCATACCCCTTCCCCCTCTATCCCTCTCCCACTTCTATTTCTATTCCTATTTCTATTTCTACTTCACACGGACGACCTTTCCCTTATATCCATGTATTATTGACCTGCCTGCGATGCGCACATGACATGCCTAGCCCCGGACGACCCCAGACGGCTCTAGGGCGCAACCTAGTGCGCATGCGTGCAGCATACACCCTCAGGATCCCCCACAGGGACACCCGGGTGACTGCAGCTGTATGCGGGGTGATGTGGCAGACCTCATGTGACCCAAGCCGCATGTATATAAACACACCTGCATCAGGAAACCTCCGAGGCTGATTGAATCGATTGAGATCATTGGGATGTCAATCCCTGTCCAATCACGCCAATCAGGTCCCCAGATTCAGATTGACAAAATCAACGGTCTTCTTCTCAAATTTTTAGTTGATTGGGATGATTAGGATGGGTTCACTGATTTACGTGGTTTAACTCATTTCAATCACCTCAACTAGTCCCCCGATTAGTGGTATTGGGGATAGCTCAGATGATCCAATCAATTGGTTCTCTCATTCTGTTCAGGCATCTTTGTGTGTGATGTGCGATGGACAATTTATATAATTGCGGATGCTATGTACAATTTATGATTGTTCACTCAGTGTCCAACAGGTATTCCATTTTGTGTGAAGCACCCAGGCCAAGTTTCGAGCTACAATCAAACCATTCGGAATCCATTTCCAGAAACAAGTCGAAAAACTCACAGTATGACATTGCCAAGCTTCATCGAGATCCTGTTCCATTGTTCAGCCCGATCTTCCTTAGCACTCCAATGACCCCACATGGAGCATAAACGTTTCCAGTCTTCATAGTAGTTGGAATGAGAGAATTCTTGAAGAGCTGGTGCCACACGGCCCCTTTGGTGTTGATTCAACACATATTTGATCTCGAGATAATTGTTTGAGCCGCATGTCTTGAGTGATATGTACTAACAACTATCCACTTACAATAGTCAATGCAAATACAACCATCTCAATGCTAGGCTTGGATAGCCTTATCTTGAGATCCTGGCGCTTGGTGTCAGTTGCCGGTTGCAGTTCTTTGAGCCCAAATGTGTATTCCAACACAGCAGCAATGGCAGGGTGTTCCAGCGGCCTGAAACGTGGTGACTGATATTTGAAACATGAGCTTGAGCAGTTAAAAAAAGGTAAGTTTGTCACCTCATCTGTGGTGCCTGTCGCGGCTTCATAGGTTTGGAATGCATAGTTACCACCGTCAATTGCCAACTCGACAGCGTGTGCAGCAGCGCCCACTTCCACACCCCCTCCAGCACCATACAATGCCGGGATTTCACCAAGGAGATGTGACTTGAGCTTGTTCCTCCATGTCCTGATGTCTCGTGCAAACTAAGGATTTAAAGATAACAGAGGGTCAAGTCTGAGTGAAGGAGGTACATGCACCATATCAAAAAGACCGTCAGACAGGTCGATGGTGATAGAAGAGGGATTTTGCGAGTGCTGGATTGCATTTGTTGCCAATCCTCGGATAATCTCCTTGAAATCGGCACCTCTTTCTATGAACAACTGTTCTGTAACTACCAACAAGTAAAGGTCTGCAGAGATCTCTTCGACAATTAAGTTGTTATGGGGATTCCCCTTAAAACTGCTCTTAAGAACCATTGCTCGGCGCTTAGTTTGACTTGCATCCTTCTCAGATTTCACTTCCATGTCGAGGCTGCCTGGTGTCCTTGTAGGCGTGGCGACACTACTTCCCAAAGCGGGAGAAGCACTCAAGAACAAAAGCAATTTGAGGCCAATAGTAGGCTTGTGGGTGGGGGTGCCAACACCTTGGCTAAAAATATCAGGAGAGGGCATGCTGGCGTTGACAGAATTGGGAGTGGGTGGGTTAGGCTGAGCTCGGCTCAATTCTCTGTTCAAGCTCTGTACATTGGATGAAAGGTCCATTACCAGCTGCTGCAGTTGTGGCCGGTAGCCAGACATGTGGATCCCACCCTGAGATTCCTTTTTTTAATAAAAAAAAATTTACATCCTGGAAATCGAGTTGATCAATTAGGCGGACATACCACCTGAGTTTCCTCCCCTGAAGCAGTCAAGCCATGCACTACTGAGCACATTGCAATTTGTGAAACCAAAATTAGTGATCAACCAATTGACCTACATCCGTGTTCATTCGACTGAGACTGAATGCTCAGGCTTGGCGATTCCGAGGGAAAGCGTGAATGCGGTTGAGAGTCCATGGGCGTCCCACCACCCTGGTTCAAATCACTGAGAACCAGCTTTTGAAAAGAGAAATTAGTTTTAATATTGTGTTGAATGATCAGGCACATGCACGAAGTCATTCACTGGTGCACAGTGAAGCAGATGACAATTATTGCATAATACCGAAAAATAACGGACAATATATTTGCCTACTTTCAGGTCTATTCAGGGAGTCCGGAGTTTGAGGAACAAAGGGCAATTGCGGCTGGGAGCGTGGAATGGAGGTTTCATCAGGATTGTGGTGATACTGCAAAGCAATTAAGAAGAATGAGTATTCATGCTTGGTTCATAGGAAATAACCTGTTTGGATGACATTACCTCGGTTTCTTTCTCATTCACTTTGAACGACAATCAATAACAGAATCTATACATAATAAAATTGACCTACTCGCTTCCTGTTGAAGTGCAATTGAGATAATATTCAGTGATATCAAGTGGGAATGAACTCACCGCAACGATGGAAGGTGGTTTCAAATGTTTATACCGGTCTTGGATTGTCTGTGGGGCCGCTGCTGCTCGTAGACGGGCAGACTGGACTACTGAATTACTTGCTAGACATCGGTGCCATGTAACCTCGCTAGTCCATACTTAGAAACAAGGGACTTCCCTACCTTCCGCCACAAGGCTATTCATAGAACCCACTTTCTGCGTTTCTTGTAAACCTGATTGGGTAGAAGCGAGCTGTGTGGCAGCCGCCTTTGCACGTCGAACCTCCCAGGCCTTGCTTGCTGCAGTGCTCCTGTTTGACTTGGACACTTCTGATATGGGAGGGGGTATAGCAGGCTCCGCGACATTTTTTGGGTCTTTCTTTCGGGTTGATGCTGCGCGTGTGTGCTTGGACATGTTGAATCAGACGATAGGAAAAAAATTGATGGGGCGGACTCAGATTTGAAATTGATTGAAGCCAATCCGTTAACTCCGTTGATTCCGCTCGTCTAATCTATGGGCAGTTCAAAAAGCGCAGCAGCCATGGCCTCCCAATCAATCGAAGCTATTGATCCCATCGATTATGTCTCGGTTTCTCCTTGTGAGGTCTTTGGGGTTGCTCAGCACACAAAGCCGTAAGTGATACAAGATGATGTATTTTACGGTGGTGTGTAAGCGGTTCCCCGGAGGTTCCCGCTTGTCCACGTGACTATATCTATCTAGTTTACATGTGACTCGGGGTTCGGGGCTATTGCCCTGACACTCCTGGTTCAAAACACCTCAATACGCTGTCCATGGTGCTTGAAAAAGTGCCGTATGCAGGGTGGTGGCCTTACAAATCACATCCATAAGAGCTCCCCATGTTACATGAAGGCTGAGGAGGCCCGCAGAGCCGCAGAGGCAAGAAGGGCTCAGCGTAATTCCAATGGTCCTCCCAATCAATCTCCCTGCAATCGATTGCCTCTTAACGATGATAACAATCACAGCGATGGAACCCCAGATACCAGCACTAGCAGCGATCAAGGGCCCTCCCACTCAAGAAGGGTCATTGTGGATTCCAGTGCTGGCAGACCTCTTGAGGGGTACATAGTAGAGACTCTTTGGGACCAGCTGTCTAAGCTGGAGGAGCACGGTCGACCCTATGCGCCCTTTGAAAGTAAGGAGGATTGGGAACTATGTTATTGGTTGAGCATGGAGGGTATTTCACAAAAAGGGATTGATCGCTTCCGAAATCTTACATGGGTGCATGAGCATAACATTCCAGACAATTGATCGACCATGTTATCCGGAGATTAGGTGATGAACCATCCTCGGCCACCAAGTTGGAAAGATGCAGTTTCAATGTACGAACGGGTAAAGACGATGCCGGGCCCACCTTCATGGAAATCCGATACAGTAACCCTCGAGGAAGCACCCGATGAGCCACAAACACTCTACTGGCATGATCCTGTGGAATGCACACACTTCCTATTCCAGAATCCTGACTTTGATGGGGATATGGCATATGCGCTGAAGGAGGAGAACAGAAATCCTATAAAAGGCTGTTCTTTCTTCTGATACTTATATGTTAGTATTGGTACTTTAACTCAACCACTGTAGCGTTTTGGTTGCTTTGTGTATTGATATTTGTATGTGTTACTGATTATTTGTGTGTGTATGAAATTCTCAGGGTTCAATTCACTTGTCTACCTGATTGTTCCACACGAAAATTGCGCTATAGACCTACTATTTTCAGTCGTTTCACCTCTGTCTTGTCACTTTTAACTCGGAGCGACTCCAACCGACTTGACTCAATGTCACTATTTCTTAACTTCTTCTTAACTTTTTACTGAGGGTTGATCACTTTTACTCAGATGTGATCTGAACTGCACACTTATACTAATAAAACTTAATTTTTATTAGGATGCCTTATGACCTATGAGCCAGAGCATGTAGGGGAGAGGAGTAAAGAAGGAAGAGGGGTCAGACCAGAAAATGTGGTCTTTTATACCTTTCCTAAGGGCTCTGTTTTCACATGTCACTTTACTATTTACATTGCTGAGTAATCTTATATTGAGCTTAGCAATCCTCTTATGTAAGCGATCAGCATCCCATTCTGCTTCTAGAACTTTCTGGAAGTTTTGGTGTGGGAATTAGCCAATTGCATTGCCTAACACCCATCATGACCTTGTTTACCCTTGTTTACTCACTTTATTCTAGGTCACATGTCATGGGGTTATTTGTTAGCTTAAGAGTGTAGCTTTCCGTCGGTATAAACAACAGTAAACTACGAGGATTATTTATGAAGATATGAATTTTTCAAGATTTAATTTTGAGGTTCTCCAGATTGCTTTGGCATTAGCTCATCCATTTTCCTACGATTAATTCTGGATAAATTATGCCTTGTTCCTGGACTCAAACTCTTTAGTTTCGCATTTCTAGCTCATCCGTTTTTACCACAAACTCAGGATGTTTGAGCCAGTCTTCTCTGCAAGTGTGTTTTAATCTTGTTAAATCCGTTTCTCCCTCAATTCTTCAGATTTTAACATGAAATCTTTTCGAACACAGACCTATACTTCAACTCTTTAAGACCGACAAATATTCATATTTTTTTCTATTTTCCTCGTATAAATATTTCCAATTCTTTCATCTTTTCCTCGTACCCGACCATTTTTCATTATTTGAATGCCTTGATTTTCTTCCGATTTCTCTTTGTCATTCGTTTCGTACGTTCGTAAAACTATTTTCCCACGTTACCACGAATTTCTAATATTTTATTTGATACAGGAAACCTTGTTTTTGTTTTCATGTGAGTTTATTTGCTGTTTTTCTTCATTTTCTGAGCCATCTTTTAATCCCTAGACTTGAAAGTTCACGTAGATACTCAATTTATCGACTCTGTTCTTCAGTATTTTTCCGATATTCTATTTCAATTCATTTTGTTGAGTTATGATTTTATTCCTATTTTTATTTCTGGTCCGCGGAGGTTGTATGATTTTTATCCAATTTTCTGTGATGGTTTCTGGTTGTTTTAGTGTTGCAACTTTTATATTCCTACATATAGGCACAGCTGAGCAATTGCAGTCCCTTGCAATTTACTCTAATACCTAGGTCTAGGTTTGTTTCATGCAATTATGGCTTTAGGTTGCACCGGGATATTGCACTTTGGATGTTCCCTTGTTGTTGTAACGTGATCTGTTTGCTCTTGCGCATTTCGCACGCCTTCGGCTTATTCCGTGCTCGGTTCCGCTGGTTCCCGTGCCCTTTTGGCCTCAGTTCCCACGCACACACACTCCGCTATTTATCCTAAATGGGCCATTATTGTCTTTTCACTTCCCTTATGGTGTCTAACCTTTTGCTTTAACTCTACTTAGTTCCTTTTACTTTGTTTATCTTTGCGACTTAAGAATCTCTTCTATAATGGTCTGTTTTCCTATGAATTTTATCTGACGCGAGCCTGTTATCCTCAGCTGAATCTTTAAGATAGCGCGTTCAAATGAATAAATAAATAAATAATAAGTTTGCGGTCCATTCCGTGATCTTCTATAGTTATTTAGGATGCTCATTGGCTTTCTCCTCAGCGATCTTGGGAATTCTTATCCGCTTTTAAATCAAACCAATAAATAAAAGAAACCAGAGTCGTGATTAGTCGTGATTTGAGGATTTCAGTCGGTACAGACAAATTTCACAGAAGTACAAGTACAAGCATTCTTTAGCGATTCCAAGCACATTTCCAAACACGAAATTTCCCTATTTAGTCAAATGGTCGGACCACCATTTCTCTTCGCGCTCATTTGCCCAAGTTTCTCCCAGAAAATAAATCGCATAATGATCGCAGTAATTCTCCAAGCCGAGCTGAAGTTCTTTGAGAGTTTCAAGACTAAAGCGCTTGAGTTTCGAATAAATTCTTTCTTGATAAATGCGGTAGTTCCACAGATTGATGGGGTTGTTGTGAGGCTTGCAGACTTTTTGTTCGGCCTTTCCCAACCATTCCATAAGCAGTCCTTGTGCATGATGAAGTTCGAGTTCCATCTCGTGTACTTCATCCGTAGTGTTGCCTAAGGCGGCTTCGAGGAGTATTCTACCAATTAGGAAATCGGATGCTTCTTCAATATTTCGAATAGATTCGCGTTTACTGTGTTGGGGTCAGAATAAATTTCCGAGGCATCAGGGATTTCGGCGCATCTGTTTCTCGTCTTGAATAATGTCCATGCACATTTCCGCAGTCTGCCAAGCACGGTCCAAATCCTTTTCCAACTGAACTAGATGGTTGGTCAAGAAGTCGCTGACAGTCTTAACTCCTTTAGGAAAACCCTGATCATGGTCGGCGCGCATCGTCTTAATTAGGTATTCAGAAAAAGTGGGAGAGAATTTATATTCCGGATTATATTCGGATGGCGGTGTTGGAACCATCCATTCGGAATATTCGGGAGAATGTAAAGTGGGATGATTGATTTGAGTTCCCCAAGCGGTAAAATCGGGTTCCTGCCATCCACGATGTTCGGAATCGATAACCATCGGGTCTGAACTCTTGCTTATGTCTTGTATGATTTAAGGTAAATAAAATCATTGTTTCTCAGGTCATTCCCACATGTGCTCACCAGCAGGAATTTCCGTCTTCGGATTCAAATACTTCTCACAATCCGCATGAATCTTGCGAGTTAATTCCATAAGAATTTGGCTGAGCTCTTTATCGGAACAATCTTCAAATGGCAATTCATCGGCCCCCTTGGATGAAGCTCTCTTCCTCTTCTTAGGATTCTCAAGATGTTTGACTAATTATTTATTTAGTCAATAATTTTCTTCCGGGTCATGTGGCACATACGGGTAATTTCCGTGTCGAACGTTCTGCTCTTCTTCTTCTCTTCAACCGAGTCGTAGCAAGCAAGGAAAGGTTGGAAGGACATTTTAATGAGTTGAGTAGTCATGATGGAACAGATAGGGTAGCAGAGGTGAGTAGCCAGATCAGTCCAGTTTCTTGCTCCCCTCTTCACCGCTAACTTTTCGCCCATTTTTATAGATGTATGCGCCCTCATGGGTGTTTAGTTCGGATGGGGCCCGGGTTTATTCAGAGATGACGATGGGAAATGAGTGGCACTTTCAGCAAGTAGGTCCAAACCGCATAATGCCCCTACTGAAATAAAATTCATCAACTCATAGTCGCTGCTTGACAAAGGATCCACTATTCTTGGGATAATCCTTGCGTCTGATCGGACCCACTTAACGAGCTTTACTGGGGACAAGAAGATGCATGCCGTTTACATCTCACTTGGGAACATCAGTAAAAATGTCCATCAGAAGCATAACACGCGCGCCTGGCTCTTGCTTGCCAAGGTCCCAATCTGTAAATTTCCCAAAACTCCTTTCCCTGGAAATAAAACCGAACGAAAGGCTATTCCAGGAATACTTGGCCAGCGACTATTTCACAACTGTATGAGACATGTTCTTGAGCCTTTGAGGACCGATTGCAGGGGATACTTCCATGTGCCCTCTCCAGATGGGCACGTTCGCTCCTGTATCGCCATTTTGATGGCTTGGATTGCTGACCTTGAGGAGCAGCTCCTCATCGTTGGTGCTCGAAGCTTCAGCTGTCCGGTCTGTTCAGCCACTTTCAGCCACTTGGGGCAACACGAGTGTTTTGAGGTCCGGATGGGAGAAACGATTCTTTCTGCACTCAGAGAAGTCCGCAGCAAGCATCCCACAGCCTCAGTTTATGAATTTTCTCAAGAAGTGAAAAAACTCCTGCTGGGTCTGTCTGGTGCATTTGAGGATCCTTGCTGGGAGGGACTTGGGGCCAAGCCCTGCATTTTCATCAAGCAAGACATTCTCCATGGTATCCACAAATTCTTTTGGGATCACCCAACTGATTGGCTCAAAAACTTACTTGGGGTTGAGGAAATCGATCATCATTTCATTGTGCAACCACCAATCTCCACTAACCGTTTTGCGGGGGGTATCTCGATAATCTCCCAAGTGACCAGGCGGGAACATCGTGCTTTCCAACAGGCAATCCTCTCTATAATTATTGGCCACGATCATGTAGATAACAAGGTCATCAATGCAATATCGTCTCTATTGGACTTCAGTTACCTGGCTCAGTATCCATCGCTCTCGGCATCCGAAATACACAAGATGGAGGAAGCGCTAACTACATTCCATGGAAACAAGCAGGTGTTTGTCGATAATGGCTTGCAAGACCCACCCCATTTTCGAATACCAAAATTACACGGACTTCAGCATTTCATCAGCGATATTACAATGGGTGGGACACCAAACAATTCTTCCACTGAAACCCTGGAGTCATTGCATATCGAGATGTGCAAAGAACCTTACCTCACATCGAACTGCTGTGGATATGACAAGCAAATACTGAACTATCTTGATGTGCAAGATCGCCTGGCTATGCGTTATGCATATGAGTCACACAAGGAGAGTGAGAAGTCTCATGTAAGTAGATTAGAACATAACAAATTATCGGTTCATGGCACTGAATCTGCGATTAGGAACCCCGAGAGGGTGGCATTGCCCTTCACAATCCGGAGTTGCAAGACTTTGAGAATTTGACTCTTGGGTTCAACATTGCTCAAGATCCCCATTACCGGGCCTGTGCCATTGAGAGACTTATTCAATTGCATGATGTTCCAGATCTTATCTCATCGATATGCCGGGCATTCGCTCTCAGCAGCTATGATGGCTCTTCATCGCGCCCTCAATGGGACTATGCTATTGGCCAGCTTAATGAGCGGTTCCATTATTTGGACGTATGGGATCACTTTCGGCTTGTGATTCCACCCTGTAACAAGTTTCCTGAAGAAGAGACCCTAACGATAACCTGCAAGGCACGATATGGGACCAACCCCACACGGCTCACACCTGTTCTCGTTGATATGCACACTCAATCCATAGGGATTCACAGTAAGTTGATTCATATTATTACAATCTCATCCTCTAACTGTCAGGGCACACACCCTGACTAGCCCAGACCCGGACCCGCATCCGGACCCGCTTCCACCCACCGCGCTTCCTGCATGTGTGCACGCTCCGCGCACCGCATGCTCCGGACCCGGTTCCTACCCCTTCATGTGACTTCCGGGTATCCCCGGAAGTTTTGCTGATATTGTGGCCACTGTGGGAAGATGAGAAGTTAGCTTCCTTCTCATCTCCTTACCCACAGTAGGATTGTGCCCTGGATAGGGCTGGTCAGACCAGAGGCTGTGGACCATAGGGGAGGGTCATGGGGACCTGGGAGTCGTCCCCTGACACTAACTCCATGTCCAGGATACCGTGTAGCCAAACTAAGACTGGTGTTTCGGCCCCGCCTGAATGAACGATGACCAGATCGAGATGCCAAGCTCTATGCACATGTCCTATGGTATTCTCCCATCCCGGCTTGGCCATCTCGCGCAAATATGTATCAGGTCACTCAGGAGTTTGACATGCATGGACGTCGAAGATCAGGCATCATTGATATTTCCCGTATAAGGGGTCTCTGCCCACTGGCGCCATCGTTTGGTGAAAAGTGTGACCCAACTATAACATCGGATAATTGTTTCGAACAGATCAAAACATATCACATCAATCACTATGCAAGCCATTCTTTCTTTCGACGCTTTCAGTGGTCGTAGGAAGACTACTACAGCATGCCCACCCAATCCATCACACACATTGCCAATCCACTTAAGCTTCTTTTCCCCTCCTGTCCTCCCAAACTCCTGAGGCGATTCCATTCATCTCCAATTCCCCATGGGCAATCAGCTCTGAGTGTCATATCCATCCCCAGCCATCGACTTCCGGTCCCTCCGTTCCCTCCGGTCTAACTCCGCTCCTTCTTCACTAACCTCAGAGCTCCCGTATTCCGCAATCCTCTCGGTACCCCTCAATGGTCACCACCCCCTCATTTCAATTTATTACCTACGCCTCCCTAAGTACAGAGCCCCGAAGACTTCCAGACAGCTCCGACGTCCGCTAGCGCACTCCCGCCTCCGCTGGGCAATACAATCGCCCGCCCTGCAGAGCCCACCTTCAGGCCTATCCCTCCTTTCCATTTCTGGGTTATCGCCTGCCTTTCCACTAACCCTGCAACCCAACTCGTCGGTAATATTCAGTTTAACCCCGTTAGCTCCGCTCCATTCGGCTCCGCCAATTGCGGACCCATCTTCGCTGTAACCATATATATATCCCACTTGTACATAGGTTACACTCCAGTAATAAAATCAACTAGAGTTACCCCCCTTAGTGTCAGGGCACAGCCCCTGACCCCACACACCCTCAGGTACCCTTCCCCCATTTTCTCCTATTTTTCCCTTCACTGTTCCACAATCCCGCATGCATGCAGACCGTGGGAACGTTCTGGGCGAGTTACTCGCCCAGAAACCATCACAGCCACAACCGTGGGAACTTTCTGTGTGAGCTGCTCACCCAGAATCTTCCCACGGGGGGGTGCCAATTATGGAAAGTCGGCAAAGAGCCGAAAACTGTATAGTTCCCGGCTCCCATTTGTAGCGGCTTCACAGGAGGTTGAGAAGGTTACCCTTCTTCTCAACTCATTTCCTGTGAAGGCTGGGGCTAGCCCCCTCAGTGAGTTTGAAGACCTCGGACTGGGACTAGATACCCCAGCAACTCGGAGGATCCCCTTGGGCCCATCACGGAACGAGGGCCGGACCCTGACACTTAGGTTCTGATTGCCAGTCAGTAAGTTAGGGCACGGATGTGTCACTAGGCACAGCGCTCTTGGCAGAAGTTGCTGAGGCCAAAGCCCTCCACTACGGAGACACTCCTTCGTCTCGAATCCGGTCTCTGACACTGAGCCCTACTCCTGTTCTCGTACGTTGTCTTCGTTCACCCATGTTCACAATAATATGTTGCAACCCCACTGCATAGTCCAATTCCGACTGTCCCTTCACCTGTTCCTCCTGTTCTGCCTGCATTGCTGAGTCCTGCACCGACTAGCCCCGCTAGACCTCCTAGTGAAATCCTCACGATTCCTGGTGAGGATCGTGTTCCGCTTATTGGGTCTGTCATCACCATACACTCACCAATGGTTCTGGGTTTGCTCTCTATTTCTGAACTAGTACTGTCACGCTTCCAACCCAACCCAATCTCTTCTCGGCTCACTGTGCATCCGGTGTCGGAGCTGTATGAGATGACTGCACCATCTTCGCCATTGTCTGTCTCATCTCCTTCGCCATTCTCCAGCATCATTGAGCAAGTATTTCCAGTCCAAGTGTTGTGTCTGTCATATCCATTCCCGGCCATCGACTTCCGGTCCCTCCGTTCCCTCCGGTCTAACCCCGCTCCTCCTTCACTAACCTCGGAGCTCCCATATTCCGCAATCCTCTCGGCACCCCTCAATGGTCACCACCCCCTCATTTCAATTGATTACCTACGCCTCCCTAAGTATGGAGCCCCAAAGACTTCCGGACAGCTCCGATGTCCGCTAGCGCACCCCCGCCTCCGCTGGGCAATACAATTGCCTGCCCTGCAGAGCCTACCTTCGGGCTTATCCCTCCTTCCCGTTTCTGGGTTAACGCCTGCCTCTCCGCTAACCCCATGACCTGACTCGTCGGTAATATTCAGTCAGCTAATGATTAAACCCGTTAGCTCCACTCCGTCCGGCTCCGCCAATTGCGGACCCATCTTCGCTGTAACCATATATATATATCCCGTTTGTACATAGGTTACACCCCAGTAGTAAAATCAACTAGAGTTACCCCCCTAGGTTCTAATTTCCAGTCAGTAAGTTAGGGCACAGACGTGTCACTAGGCACAGCGCTCTTGGCAGAAGTCGCTGAGGCCGAAGCCCTCCGCTACGGAGACATTCCTTCGTCTCGAATCTGGTCTCTGACAGTGTCTTGCATCTCCTCTGACTCGCTAAACTTTGTGGAGTATCCACCTGTCGCAAGATTTGTCTGGACCTTTATCACTGACTGTCAAGTTTTCACCTATCAGTTCGGCCTCTTGGGTCATCTGCGACTGCTGAGTCCCCACTTCCAACTACAGAGCCGTTGGTCCCTTGTCAGGGGACGACTCCCGGGTCCCCATGACCCTCCCCTATGGTCCACAGCCTCTGGTCTGGCCAGCCCTATCCAGGGCACAATCTACTGTGGGTAAGGAGATGAATAGATAAAGCAGTAGGTAAGGTACACTTGCCTACTGTGGGTAAGGAGATGAGAAGGAAGCTAACTTCTCATCTTCCCACAGTGGCCACAATATCAGCAAAACTTCCGGGGATACCCGGAAGTCACATGAAGGGGTAGGAACCGGGTCCGGAGCATGCGGCGTGCAGAGCATGCGCACGTGCGGGAAGCACGGCAGGTGGAAGCGGGTCCGGACGTGGGTCCGGGTCTGGGCTAGTCAGGGTGTGTGCCCTGACATCCCTTCAATCGCACCTGTTACGACGACATTGGAACCCTCAGAAGAGCCAACTTCCGAACTTCAATGGAGTAGTTATCGCCAATTGTCACTTCTGAGCCCTCGGAGGAGTGGATTCCAGTGACTGTCACCATGGAGCCTAGCGAGGAGCAAATCTCAAAGACCATGACGTCGGAACCTAGTGGGGAGCGAATTTCAGAGACTATCATTTCCGAACCTTCTGAGGAATGGATATCAGATATCACCTCAGAGCTTTCCTCAGAACCAATATCGGAAATCATCATCTCTGAGCCTTCTGAAGAACCCACATCAGTCATTATTACTTTGGAGCTCTCGATTCCAACTATCTCAAGCATTGCCATTCTCACTTCGCCTCCATCTAGCGAAGGCATATCAAGTCCGAGGATAACCGTGGTTTCCGAAATACCTACTCTCATGACCCCTCCTCCACCGACAGCTAAGTCACCGTCGCTAGCCAAAACCGATGGTTCATATGAGTCCAGCATCTTACGTCCATCCCCATCACTGCATTCGGCTGCCCTTCCGGAGCTGGACCTGTCTCTCGAGACATCTTTCCTGCAGCCTTCCGAATCCTTTGTGCCTCTTCCACGAGGTCCTCAATGGACTGTTGAGTGTTTGCCATCGTCGCCCACATCTCTCCGTGATAAGTGCTATGATTGTTCCTCCAATTGTGGTTTCATGGCCGCTTTCTCCGACAACCCCCAGTAGCTCGATAACACCTGTGAGTGAATGACTAACATTGATGTTAATGAGTAGCAGGTGACACTACTTTCGTGTAGCCTGTAATTCTTGCAGAAATCCCAACAGTTCCATCGTCTGTCCAGGTCCAAGCTCTGCTATCAGCAAGCAATTTACCTTCTATCCGGTCACAGCTTGAAACCATTGAGGTGGCAACCATTGAGGAAGAAGGTCCCCCCTTTGGCAGTAGACATTAACCGCATCTTCAATAGGCTGCAAGAACTCTCCAATCAGACGGACCGTCAAGGCAGGCGGGTTGATGAACATCTCCGGAAGATAGAGGATGACATAATGGAGCTTGCCGATCTGCTTCGAAGGAAAGAAGAGCCTCGTCCCAGGAAGGGTGTGTCGGTGCAGTGATCTCCATCAGTATGGGAGGTCCGAGAAGTCGTGCCAGTTCCACCTCCACCCCCAGAACCCGTGGTGGAACCTGTGTAAGAAGTAGCCTATCCCTCACCTCAACCTTTTCGCACAGGGTCTCCCTTGTCCTTTGTTTCAAGTATTTCATTTTTATCTTCCCACTACTCGGATGTCAGTCTGCTCGATCCCCCAGCTCTCCCTCATTGGCAAGTACTCCTGTTTCGTCTCCCCCTAGTTCTGAAATATCAGAATCTACCATACCATCCTCTCCTACCTCCACTGCCACCACCGCTACTGCTTGTCCTCAAGTCGATCTTACTGCACTTCGGGACATGTTATCTACATTACAGCAGCAAAGCGCTAATCTCCTTGAGGACCAGCTGGAAACAAGGGTGCTTCTTCAAGAACTGTATGACCGGCCACCGCCAACACAGCTGGAGATTAGACCGCCTTCAGTTCGTAATGAGGCACAGGAGGCTGCGTCACAGAAAGGGATTACAGACTTGCTTCATCGGATTCTTAATGCCCATGGTATCATTTCTGATATGCAGGACCGAGAAGTTGCGCCCCTGCAGCTCCACCTGCCCAACCTCCCTTGGAGGAGAGTAGCAACGAGTGGGCTGATAGTATGGTGAAGAAAAATGGAGTCAGCTGAATCGCAGTCCCATCGTTACAGTACGGCATCTCGTGCACCTATAGATCTCTTGCTGAAGCTGAGCCAGAGGGGCGAGGCTGCTGTTGAGCCTCCAACTATTACCATACCCACCCCAGTAACAGTAGTGGAGGGTTCCTCCTTTGTCCCAGAGGGCATGCAATGCAAGTCCATGAGCACTGTAGAGCAGATGCCGACAGGAGAGGACGTTTCCAGTGTCGCAGATCGCCTGCCCTTCCTCCAGGGCCCAAGGGATCGGCCTGTTCAAGAAGGCTCTCCATGCTGAAAATTCGAGTATCGTGAGCCCAGAGAGCTAGAGACTTTGGAGTCCAGCATACAGCTCCCTCCACCGGGGAGGCCTCAGAGGCTGTTGACCCTGCATTGGACTTGAAGATAGTTTGTGATCATAGAAAGGCTCGGAGAGGTGGAGGCGGGACGTTCATTCCGTCACCAGGAGTTCCAATGGTGACAGCTATTTATTCATCTCAAGCATTCTTTTTATAATATTGGCAGGAGCCCGAGCCCAAGCCTCCAATTGAACACCTCAGATGTCCACCCACGACTCCACCAGATTTAGTTCCGGCCCCGGATGCGGTACAACAAACCTCCGGAAAAGCCTTTGCCAGCTGGGGCCCCACCTGTGAGTGGAATGCAACATGATGTGACAAATGAATACTGCTCACCCTTTGCTAGGCCCCACCTGTAACAAAACAGGAAAAAGAGGCACCCTGGCCTCCTACAGCCCCAATTGTCCTGAGTGTGGCTGTTCTGCCTCCAACAGCAGTACGCAAGATAGAAGATGATATAATGGAGCTCACCGATCTGCTTCAACAGAAAGAAGAGTCAGTGCAACGATCTCCATCAGTATGGGAGGTCCGAGAAGTCGTACCAGTCCTGCCTCCATCCCCTGAACCCATGGTGGAGCCTATAGAAGAGGCTGTCTACCCCTCACCTCCCCCTCTTCACCCAGAGTTGTCTGACGCACTTATCAGGTCCTTGGGTGGACTGTGATGTCATTCATCGGACTCATGCATCGAATGCAATGTCTTAACTCACTCAGCCGCTTTGCTTGAGCGCCTCTGGACCCGTATCTTCACGTCTGCCTTTGCTGGACTCAACGGGGGACTCGGTGCTGCTCCGGGGACATCATGGGCCACCTCAGAATAGCACTCCTCATCAAGGTACGCGTATACATCCTTTCAAAGGCCAATTGGCAGAGGCCCTCATCCTTAAGGCATGCCTTAGTGTCAATGTCGAAAAATCCCTCATTTTCGGGGTATGAATCCAATTCAGAGTCGTCACAGTTGGCTTTACAAAAGTTCTCGTCATTACAATGTGAGTCTAAGTCAAGGACTGTTTTGCAGACGGCTGGCTCGGCCTCGGGTCACGAATCAAGCTGTCCCTCATCAGTGAGTCTGCCTGTCTCATTTCTCCCTAGCTCTGAAATAATTAATGCAATCGTACGTTTCCATGCCGTGAGGATGCGGACAACCCCAATAACTGCAGAATGAAGGAAAAGTTATGGACTTTGTAGCAGTGGGGGATTTCTGTCGCAGACGAGGGCCAACAGGAGGAGCTTTTGAGCACGTTGGCTCCTGTTCTTTGAGCCGGGTTATGCTCGGCGAGACACGGACAACATGCTTGTCAACAGCAGCACAGACATGGTAAGTAACTTCATGGATATTCCTACCTACACTGATAGGGCATCTGGTGCAGACGAGAGCATGGAGAAGAAAGGAAAGAAGCAAGATGAGGCCGTTGAAATCCTGAAAGAGTACCCACTTGTCAAATTCTCGGACTACCCAACATTGCAAAATGTTAGCGCGGACCCTCTTTCGCATCGTTATGCTATTTTGGACTACTGATGGACTCCTGAAGATTGACCGTTTGTTCCAGGCTGAAGTTTTCAAGATGAGATTTCCGGGCATTTCCGCTTCCGGCCTTAAAACTCACATTTCCCTCCAGCTTGTCACTCGCTTGGCTCCGAAAATCGTTTCTCATCTTCACTCACCCCATAAGTCTGATAATGCCTCACGCACTCCTCAACGATGTTGATTTGCAACCCACCCGACGTTGGAATTGTTGGAGGAAGGGATCAAGTGATCTCCCAAACCATCAGGGAAGGGGTACCCCCCCCTGGCATAACGGGCGAGTAGTGTATGGATGCACGCTAGAAGTCCTGGGTTCGATACCAGGCTTGTCCATTTTATGTCATTTGTCCAGTCACGCTGGTTTACATCATAAGAATTTGGAGCTCCGGATAAGTCCAGTAGTCGCACCGGATACAAATTTCCTCAGGAATATGTCAATGTTTGGACTGGGTCATGAACTTGGGAGAGGAAAGTTTGCCAGAGTCCATGTCGCTCGTACCAAGTGCCCCTCAATGTCAACACTCGCCTTGAAAGTCCTGTGCAAGTCTGAACTGGACCAAAATGTCGAGGAACAAGTTCAATGTGAAATCGAAACCCACAAGAATCTCGTCCACCCAAACATCATCTGCCTCTACGGCTCTTTCGACGATAAGGTGCGAATATGTTTAGTGCTTGAGTTGGCTCCGAAAGGAACGTTGTTTGATCGCGTTTTGGAATGGCACCGTGTTCCGGAACAGATGAGCAGTCAAGTAGGTCCGTTCAAATACCAATGACTATGACCATTGATTGTTTTCAGTACATTGCTCAACTAACAGATGCGCTCAAATATTTGCATGGCAAGCACATCATTTACTGCAACATTGACTTGGAGAACATCCTTGTCGATGTTCATGGACGGGTTAAGTTAGCGGACTTCAGTTATAGCACTCAAACACGCAACCAGTAAGTCTTTCATGGTCACCTTGAACAGTACTAACATAACTTCTCAGCCAAACAACTATTTGCGGCACAACCGCTTATTTGGCTCCCGAAATGGTCAAAAATCAACCATACTTGGAGAAAGTAGATCACTGGGCACTTGGTGTCCTTACTTATCAATTACTCACTGGTAAATCTCCTTTCACGGGAAGGAGTAAACAAGGTATGTGAGACCCACCAGTACATTGTCCAGTCTGTTGAATGACATGGTGCAATAGATACATATCGATGGATTACGGAGGTTGATCTCTGGATACCCAATCATGTTTCATTGGACGCCTCCAACCTTATCCAACGTGTATGTTCAGACTTCAAGTTCTTTTCAGCCCTACTGCTACTAACCTCTCGCTAGTTGCTGTGCAAAAATCCAGAGGATAGACTCACTCTTAGTGAGGTCAAAAACCATTGGTGGATATCACGATACCAGTGAACTTTTATTCCGACGTTTGTACATACATAATATATACTAATGATATGTACAATAATTGGGCTGATTGGGCTGATTGGGCTGACTCGATCCATCGGTTGTCACGATTGAGCACATTGGGTGCTCTCAACCATTTCAATCAAGCTCGGAAGTTTCCTGATGTGGGGTGGGAACCGAAGAAGTAACCTTCTTCTCAACATTCCCACTTCAGGTAAGCATTGGGCCTGCCAGTACGCACGCCCGATCCACCCCCCATGAGGTCCTTAGCACCAGACACTACGCCCGGACCGCCTCGACCCCGGACGCGACCCTGACATCCTTCTTGTAATAGGAGGAAAACCAAGCACTGATCTATCAGAGCCTCCAACTTTATAGATGAAAGCATCTACAGTGGGCAACAAAACTGTTCACATGTTTTGCTGTTTTGAAAAGACACACTCATACAGGCTTGGGAAAAATTCTGAAATTCCTGAAAAATTCATAGAAGATGCTCTGACATTTCAAAATGTTGCTTACATCAGCGCAGGGTCATACACCCATTTATGGCAATGTAATTGTAAGATGAAGTCAGCCATTGCATGTGAACAGTTTTGTTGCCTTGGCTTTCTTAATGCAGAAGCAGGGCTATACTTGACTCTGGTCACATGACTTTGTTTGTTCCGCAGCATAAATACTGGCCCTTTTTTGATTCTTTCCCTCACACTCCACCATGTGCCCTCTTGCCCCTGCTACTCGTGAACACATCATTACTCTGCTACTCTCTGGCACCTCTGGGCACTCCATTCATAAGATTACTGGTGCTAGCATTGGAGCTATCTCAAAAATCCGCTCTGCATATTGCCCTGATGCTGCCAAGTCCACTGGTGGTTGTCCAACAAAGCTTACACCTGCCAACATCACCTATGCAAAGCATCTCATTTGCATGCAGAAAGCTGATAATGCAGTCCAAGTGACCCAATCTCTTCAGGATGTCACAAGCCTCTCTGTCTCTCCCCAAACTGTTCGTCGTCATCTTCGGAAGGCTGGTCTAAGGCCTGTGGTGAAGAAGAAGTGCCCATTTCTGAAACCAGCCCATTGGAAGGCAAGGTTGCTGTGGGCTGAGAGGCACCAGGAGTACACTGTGGATGACTGGAAGAGGGTGGTGTGGTCTGATGAGACCAAAATCAATCACCTTGGGTCAGATGGCAGGAAGTGGGTGTGGAAAGAGGCAGGAGAGGGTCTTACTGATAGGCAGGTTGAGGGAACAGTGAAGTTTGGTGGTGGAAATGTGATGATGTGGGGTTGCATGCTGTGGGAGGGTGTTGGGTATGCCACTAGGATCAAAGGGAAGATGGATGCACAGCTTTATTGCTCCATTTTGGAAGATGAACTCCAGCAATCCCTTAAATTCTACAACAAAACCCCTGAGGACATTATCTTCCAAGAGGATAATGACCCAAAGCACTGCAGCAAACTTGCTCAAAAGTGGTTCCAAGGTCATAACTACACTGTTATGAAGTGGCCAGCACAGTCCCCAGACCTTAACCCCATAGAGCATCTCTGGTGGCATGTGAAAAGGAGGTTGGCTGACTATGAAACTCCTGCAAGTGGTGTGGGGGAGCTCTGGGATTGTTGTCAGGTGGAATGGGAGAAGATACCAAAGGAGGTGTGTCAGAACTTAATAGAAAGTATGCCTAGAAGAGTACAAGCTGTAATCAAGGCAAAGGGGGGGTATACCAAGTATTAATATAGTAGAATTATTGCCTGCAACAAAACTGTTCACATGCAATGGGTGACTTCATCTGACAATTACATTGCCATAAATGGGTATATGACCTTGGGCTGATGGAAACAACATTTTGTGATGTCAGAGCAGCTTCTATGAATTTCTCAGAATTTTCAGAATTTTTCCTAAGCCTGTATGAGTGTGTCTTTTCAAAACAGCAAAACATGTGAACAGTTTTGTTGCCCACTGTATGTATGATGTTCCTTGGACTAGCTCCCACACCCAGAATTGATTATTTGCAGAAA